TTCTTACCGCCAGCATAAATGCGTAATTATTTTTTTTACAGAAAAAGTAATTTTTCACCTTTGATTGAGTAACGCGTCGTAGAATGCAGATACGGGCATGCAAAATACACTTGTGAAAAGCTTGAAGTCTGGCGATTTTAAAAATATATACTTTCCCGGGTCTATTTGTAGTCATTTGGTCACAATTAGAAGATGAAAACAAGTATGCAAATAATAGTCCCGCTACCTTAAACAGAGAATCAGTTACCTGGGTATTTCAATAATGTCACAGCAATAATGCAATGTCAGAGTAGATGCAAAATCATGTGAGTGAGCGATGAGATGAAATAGACACAAGCTTTTTTTACCTCCACAAAGGAAATTATGTTTTCTGTTGGATTGTCATAAAATTTCTAGGGGGGTTTGATACAAGCACAAATCCATTACATTTTGGTATGGATATGGGTATAGTTGCCATAGAAACAGTAATTTTGAGAATGATTTTTTTATTTATAAATCAAAATATAATGGATTTTCATGAAATTATCAGAAGGGGTACCATGAACACAGTGCACACATAGACAGTATGGTATTATACTATACTGTCTTTGATGCAATCAATTAGAATTTGGTACAGATGTGAATACAGTTGCCATGAATGATCTCTCATTTACTGTAAAACCATTTATTTTCACTATTTTGATGTTATAAGCATATTCACTGTTGTCACGAACTTGTCAAGGAAACAATGAGTTTTATTGTTATTTTAAATGTTCATGTAAATTTAATTTAGCGGTAGCAGATTTTAATTATCAGCAAAAATAGCAAATTTAAAACCAAGTGACCAATTAATGCATTTACAGTATTACTCAAAAAATTAGATTGTTCAAAGATTCAGATATAGTTGGTAACAACAATTTTGTGAATTTTTTACATTTATAATTCCAAAAAAAAATGTACTGGTATTCACAAAATTTTCAGGTGACAATGCTTTTGATGCAAGGACCAAACCATTAAATGTTGGTAGAAATGAGGATCTCGTTGCCATGGAAACACAAATTTCAGGAATGATTTGTCATTGTTTACTTAATTAATCGTTGATTGACTCTTAACAAATTTTCTTAAATCCTCTCATGGCATTTTCAGAAAGGATACCAGTAAAAGATTGATTGAGATCTGGATAGCTTATGCTAGTACAAATGTATGATGAACGAATACAGCAGAGCAGAGCAGTGTGCCTGCCAGATGCACAAAGATTTGCTGTGACGCAACTGGTTTTGCTAATTCACTTGTGTGTCATTGATGAAACAAAAAAAATATACAAAGATATAGTAATCTTGAAAAACATTTTACTATATTCATGAAATTTGTAATTATTAAAATTTACATTTCATAAACAAAATAAGTATAAAGAAAATGAAAAAAAGCAGAAAATCAGGGACCACGATAATCACATACAATTTTATTTTTTATTGAAAACCATCTACCTAGCTGACATTGATTTTAGGAGATTTAATTTTGACTTGGAATTCCTACAAAAACAATCCTGTTAGGCACACTTGTGCAGAGGTATTACCGGTAGTAAAGATAAGTTTTGCATCTATGGGCAGAGGTTTGTGCCTTCTAATTCATTAATTTAATTCACTCAATTAATACTGAGCTAAAATTATCTCTGATACCGAATGAATATGTAAACAATACCTAGCAGATTATGGTTTATAGGGATTAAGGGATTACAAAATATATGCAGAGAATGTACCATAGCCAGTACAATAAAGGGTGGTGATTGCCTAGCAGTTATTTTGAGAGTGTTGTAAAGCTAGCAGCAGTGACATCATCATAAGATAGCCAAGTTGGAAGATTCTTTTGGTATAGCATTTGCACTAAACTTCTGCAGCAAGTATGAAGATTAAAATTCACACAGATTTCAACTACATAGAAAATCTTGCAATAAATAATTCTAAGGTTAGCTAGGACACTGTCCCTCAAGTCCTTGCGTGACTGAGGCTAGGAGTATCAAGCACACATGTGCAATCTTAAAAAAAATACAAATTTACTTAATATATATATATATATAAACACATGTATAATAAATAAAAAAAAAATTGGAAACAATATTTGGACATTAGGTACATCCAAAGAAAGGTGTGCAACTTAGATATTCATGTACGTTGGTATGCAATGAAGACCCCATTCTGCATGAATTCTGTGCATGTCATTGACCTTCTGATCAATGCCATCATAGATGCAAATATACCCTATATAGGGTTTGATTCCAGAAACAGAAATGAACGAGGTTATTACCCTGTTCAAAAAGCCAATGTACTATATGCTCCATACGAGCAAATAGAGAACAAATGAATAAGTGAAAAAAAAAAACCTGAGAGAAATACTAACTCTTTTTTTGCAGATTCGTTTCTTTGCATTTTGAGAAATTCAACAATTTTGTGATCATATCACAGTAGAAATGAGATCTTCATTGAATACATTTTGCTAGTTGCATACCCATCTTGGGAAAAAATGTTATAATACATGTACACTTTAGATCCACAAATATTCCCATTGCATAAGTATTCATCTTTAATGTAGATGTTAACCAATGCATGCCCCCATATTCTCGAGGGAGGGGGGGGGGTCGAGATAGCTGGAAGATTTGTTAAAAATTCGGAAAATAAATGGTTGACCCAAGTGTCATATTTTATAAAATTATAGTACTGTTATTGGAGACACTGACAAGGTGCCAGGAAGAACATGTAAGAAGTGTTTCAAAAACAAAACAGTTAATCAATGAATGTGTGTCATAACAAAGTGCAATAAAAAAAGAAGGGTCATCATTAATTTTATTTGAATCCAACTAGAAACTTTTGAATGATATTTCAGTTTCATTAGTTTAAACGAAATGAATCTTGTTGAACACATCATTAGTGTGTCCTGGTAGTAACACCATAGCATAACAGTTTGGAACGATTAAAAAAAATATATTCTGTGTCACTTATAACATAGCATTGATTGGACATTTTCACTTATCACATAACCACAACACAGAAACTGATTGGACGGCTTCACATATTACATAACAACACAAACACTGATTGGACGGTTTCACATATTACATAACAACACACAGCACTGATTGGATGGCTTGAGGATCTTTCTTGACAAGCGTATTTCCTTCTTGATGAACAATAATTGCTTCATTTCCGTAACGACTATATCTTTGGGCATTTTCAGTTTTGAACTGCACACTCAATGCACTCTCTTGACGCTGCTGCTTTTTGTAGATCACCAAGGCAGTGTCCTCATATCGCTCTTTAATAAACTGTGTTGTGTCAGTTTCTAACTTTCTTCTATTCATTTACATTGTCTTAATTTATTCGATGTTTGCTGTATATACTAGGTTCTACCAAACACACAGTATTCCTGGTCACCAGTAAATCTGAAATTAAAGTAATTTTGCCATGTTAATCATACAAATATTTATCAAAGCACCAAAGCACATGTTCAAATTTGGTGGAGCGAACTGTATTTCAGTTTTGCTGATAACAATAACAATTAACAATAATAATTAATTTTGCCATGTTAATCATACAAATATTTATCAAAGCACCAAAGCACATGTTCAAATTTGGTGGAGCGAACTGTATTTCAGTTTTGCTGATAACAATAACAATTAACAATAATAATTAATTTTGCCATGTTAATCATACAAATATTTATCAAAGCACCAAAGCACATGTTCAAATTTGGTGGAGCGAACTGTATTTCAGTTTTGCTGATAACAATAACAATTGACAATAACATTAGTTGATGTTTTTTCCTCGTTCTATAATTATATGTATTTAATGTGCTATTTGTGATATTAGTTGCGTGAAGTATTATTTCTGTTTTTGTTTTACAACCATAAAATTACTCTCTGTAGTAGATTTTCGTGTTGAATAAAATTATTATTATTATATGAACAATGCATTTTACACGCTTGTGACCCATTTAAAACAAGCATTAAAAAATGAGAACAATGACAGGCAATTGATATAAAAGTGAAGTTTATAAAACTAAAAACCTGTAATAATAGTATTTTATTAATATTAACTATTTTTGGATGAACCCTGGAAGAGGAAAAGATAACAAGCTAAAACTACCATCGTGTATACACATCCCTTCATAGCAACTCCTACACTGACCCATTTATCGGTGATCATCTGTGGGCAGCGTGACTGTAGGCATGATCTTGATATTGAATGCACAGTCAGCTGGCATTGGTATCGCTGGGTGTATGTGATATACTCCCAGCGATACCGATGCCAGCCGACTGTGATTGAGTGAACGCTGTATTGTACAATGTTTATAACTTAAAAAAAATAATTCTGGACCTAGGTTTGCAGGTTCCCTGGTTATAACGTTCTTCACTTATAGTCAGCAGACTTGACTGTAAAACGCGCCTTCTCGCACCACGCACCGACTGTTTTTACGGCCAAATACTTCACTTCCGCGTTGCAAAGCAAATCAAGTCTCGTCAAACAACAACATTGCACATGCGCGTGGTGTTACGCGGCCCCACAATGTGTATATTGATTGTATTTCAGAATTATATTTCATATGGAAAGATAGTTATGTATATAAAACTGTATAAAGACATTGTTAGGTGAAATTATTGTCACAAAATTTGTTGGGATAAATATATTGATGCATTTGAGTATAACCACTGTCGTCTGGATGACAAGTTTTTTATTCATACAGATTTCGACATATTATCCTCGCACGTAGATATTTTTAACCAGCCCCCGCGAATGATCGACCTTGCTTGGTGAAGTCTGGTACGAGGATATACAAGTAGTAAGGTTTTGCAGCTAATACAAGATGGAGGAATGGAAGTTGTGTGCGTCTTGGCTAATCGAATGCCAAGTCATACCTCCAAACCACCGGGTAACAACATATGGCGCCGAAGCATTTACCTTGGCACAGACATTGAGGGATGGAGTATTATTATGCCAACTCGCCAACCGATTATTACCAAATGCCGTGGACCTCAAGGAGATTGCCCTTCGTCCACAAATGTCCCAGGTTAGTAGAACGTACACTTATCTAGTTTTGTTGCGCTTTATTTCCTGGTTTAAAAGTTTAACAATTTCCTCATCATTGGAGCGTTTTCAAGAGCCATCAACTATGTATCACTCTCATTTATTAATTTGTTTCGTATGACGTACAGATATTTGGTGGCATAATGTTATAGTCAATTTGTGTCACCTTCTAAAACTCTCCCAAACTTAGCGAAAATAGGGCCCCAAGAAAACACTGCCTGTCACTTCCTGTGATGTTTGCGCAACAAACCTGCCTGATTGTAAAAACAATAACAACAACAACAATTAGTCAACAAATAAATAAACTACGACACGTTAATTAATAAATTAACCGTTTACGTTATTGTAGTATACACCGAGAAGTTAGATACGAGTCGATTGTTAATGATAAGTTTTTTTTTTTTTTTTTTTTTTTTTTGCTCTAACTTCCGGGTAGGTATGTTTGGGACAACTAAGTGCTACACTATTTCTTGCTGTGATGTGTTATGTACGAGTGTTCTGAAGTTACGTTCTTACGTTCATGTTCAGAGTACCTGTGGCTGACCAGTGTACTTGTATTTCCCATGCCTATCAGTTGTCTTGTAGAGCCAATGAAGAATGATGCAATTGTTATGCTAATTTTACTATTACAAAAGGAAGTCTTTCCCATTTCGTTGTTCTTGTAGGGATAAAAGTAGTAAAACTATTATTCTTCCTGGTCGAATGAGTTGTTTGAGTTGAATACAATAAAAAAATCTTTTTGGCTATTATACTTGTGGGTAAACTAAATTAGAAGGTGGATCTTTAAATTAATTTTCAGTCATAACAAAAACTTGCTGGTCCCCGCAAAACAATGAATATCATTAATTGAAAATGTTTATTTGTTCATTGTTTTATTTCTTAGTCCATCATTTATTACACCTACATCAGACTTGTCTCTTGTTTACAATATAGCTTGTTTTTGTTTTGTCCTATCTATGTGCTAATTAAATCAGTGTTTTTGCATTCCAGCAGTGAACAAATGTAATTTTGCTGTTCTCGTGACTACTGTATCATGAATATTGTTGTTGTGCACCTGAGCTATTTTCAAATGATTTGATGAAATAGTTTGTACAAGAGCACACTGTATATAGCAAATTGTTCACAAACGTTTTTTTTTTTACATAAATGTTGTCACCATTGTTGGACACCCTGCTGTGTTACTGTTACAATACAATGGATTATGGCAAATAATCATGTACTTAATCAGACAACACTGTACACACTGCAAAGTTCAAAATACTTATTAAAGAATTGTCCATAGTTTCTGTATATTCCCTGGTCTAGTTAACCTTTACCTGACCATTGACCCGGTAAGGTCAATAATAAATAATAGGACCATCTCCATAATCATTTCCTTACTGTGTTGAGCTGTTATAAACTGAATAATTCCCCTGAACCCAAAATAGATAATCAGGATTGGATAATATCATAATTGAACCGATCATATTTGCCAGAATTTTCAAAATTAGGGTTAATGTCGCTTTTCAATATTTGGTTTATTTGGTGTTTAATCAATTAATGTCAACTTTAATCATTGAACTAATCAATTTGATGTCACTGAATATGACTGGTATGTATAGGTACTATATTTGCTCTGTCTTCAAAATACATATTATCACAATGGCAAAGTATACAATAAATGAAATTTTAAGTTTATATGCACTTTTATTACAGAGGCACTTCTAATGGAGCAAATATGGTACATGTATTTGTATATATAAATTACGTATTTGCTCTATTATTATCATATACTTTGTATTGCTCGGCCTCATAACGCTATGGGAAGTGCCCTCGTTTGTATAGCTTACATACCCTCGCAAGCTTGGGCACTCTCGCCACAAGATCTTGAGTCACAAAAGTCGTATCCAATACATAAAGAATATTAGCGCATATACATAAATGACAGTGATGATTCTATGGTCAAAATAAGCCATATTTTAAAGGGGCACCTCCAGTTTAGCCTAATATCACAACAAATTTTCTTTCTGGTTTAAAATTACAATGGATAACAAAAGATAGATTAACAATGTAAACAACATAAACAATAGTGTCCGATGATTCTTAGGTGCAATCCCTGGGTTTGGAAGATTCCCCTTCAATGATCCAGTATACAACAAATGTAATTTTGAGTTTATATGCGTTTCTATTAGGGATGCTTCTCTAACAAAGCAAATATGGTATTCACTTGGCATTGTTTTTCCGTTTTTCAAAGTAACTAATATGTACATGTTAATATGTACATTGTAGAAGTAGTGAGGGGTTTGTGGCTTAATTTACTTATAGCTTGGTTAATACTTTTATGAACTCGCCACTCCCTTAAAATAAAACCCTATCAGCATGTTTAGAAAAACATTATTTTTTATTATATTATGCCAGTATATCGACACATTGAAACTTTTGTTGTAATTTTTCAAAATATCCAGTATGACAGTCGCAAGTTTATTGTTTGCCCTAGTAGCCATGGGAACCATTTTAATTGTTGGTGGCCAACTGGAGAATTTAGTAAACAAGTACAAAATAGTTTGTTGCCATAATTTATTATGTTTTACTAATACATAAAAAACTACACGGAAACACTAATTATTGTAAAATACTTTAAAAAATTTTGCTATTAGTATTTTCGCTGAAGGCATATATACCGAATATACCTTTTTTTCCTATATTTTACATACAACTCACCAAAAATCAGTGAAAATAAATTCCATACAAAACGCCCAAAAAGTTGTTTTCAGCGAAAATTAATTCCAGCTAAAATATTGTACAGTATGTTAAAACTCATTTTTTCAAGCATACTGGTTTATAAAAACATATGACCCAGATTCAGCAGTAGGCTGAATTTCATTTTCAACATCAGATGCGATGCCCCTTGTATTATCCTCTTCTGATTCACTGACAGAATTGCATCTTTCTGCTGCAAGATGTTAAAATGAAAATGGTGGATAATGAAATGCATATGTGCAAAGTGTTGAATTGTGGGTAGATTGGGCCATTACGAGCTGTATGGTCTGTTTTATGTTTTACAGAGAATTTGTCACTAGTCAAATTTCGTTCAGGTTGTCAATTGGTGACCCACATATTTATTTTAATCTCCATTGATTAATCACCATGGCGACCAAAATGGTTGCAAGCTGGAGGCCTGAGTGACCAATGCTAACGGCATATACATGTATATATACTATGACTAGGGTCAATAAGTGGTTTTATTCAGGCCTGAGCAATGAGTAACAGATATTAATACAAAACCAGTAATATTCATGGAAAGAGTTCTTAAGGAATGAAATCAAATTGGGGATATTTACTGGATATTACCCTTGAGCAAAATCAATAACGTGAACAAGATGCCGATGCCTGTGTAGCCAGCCATACAGTGTAGTTTGTTAACTGATTTTTTCAGAAACTAGGTTGATTGTGACAGTGTCAAGTTAATTGGTAAAGAAAATACACATAAAAATAAATGATGTGTTTAAATAGATTAATTCTAGTTCATATTCTTTGCCATGCGTGCAGAACACTTCAACACTACATGTATTAGAATGATTTGTTAGTGTCTTATGTTGCATTGTTTATCATTTCAAAGTACACACACATTATAATGTCATAGTTATATAACAATAAACCATTGGCCAGGTATACCAGTGAATTTTGCACTGATATACTTTCTATAGAAACTTGTTTGTACATGTTCTACTCCTATGCAAAATCTCATAATATAGCATGGGAAGAAAAATTCATAGTTTATTGCCTAATGATTTAATACATCTTTCATTTGCTGCCTTTACACAGCAGCATTTTATCAGTAACCTACGGCTCGAGCCAGCAAAGATGGCCGTGTATACTCGTTCTGTTCCAATAAACCCTCTGGGTTGAACTCTGACAGGATTGGGCCTGGCTCTGATGATCGGGGACGACCCACCAGTGACTCATGACTCAATTCGGACTCATCTTTCTGTGTTATTGAAGACAAATGTAAATGTAGTTCGTTTCAACATCAGCTTCTTCCTAAAAAAGATTTTGATCAATTTTGATTTTGATGTTGTTTTCCAATTATTTGGGTCAAAATCTTCATTGTATTTTAAAGAAGATACAAAAGAATATTGACTATTTGCACTCAAATTTTGTTGGAAAAAAATGTATGATCTTATGTACTATTGTCGGAAGTGCCACCCTCCATTAAACTCAGATGTACACGTTGCCAAACTACATCAGCCTCTTTCTATAAAAAATTTTTAAGCAAAGCTGTTTCAAATTTATAAGTAATATTGTCTTCTTATTATTTGGGTCAAAATTTTAAAGAAAATACTATCAACTATTTGCACTCAAATTTAGGCGGGAAAAATAGTGTCCTCGATTTTCCTTTTGAAATAAAATGCACTAAAGATGACTGTGGACCCTCAGGCAGTTTTCACATCGTCTTTACACGAGTCATGATTCTAAAGACACAATCCATAATTACATTACTGCCAATAACGTGAAACATACTGCCTAATTTTATGTATTATTCTTCATTTTTTGGATAATTGGATCAAATGAACAAAATTTCCCATTGGCTACATGTGTTGATTTAAATTTTATAAAAAAAAAACTTAAAAAAATGAATGTTAGATTTTGTGAATCGTGACAAAACTCAACTTTAGTGCTTTTTTTAATGGATAATTTATTCAGAAAATGTAAGTGTGTGGCTATTGTTCGGTGAAAGTGAAACAGTTTCAGCCAAATTCAAGTTTTCCATTAATGTCTCATGTACAATGACGTACCAGGGTACATGTATAATTATGTAAAAAACAAAAATTGACCTTTGAACATGTCATCAACCGTTTCTCAGGCCTGCCTTTGCTGATTTTATTCAAAATTTCTACATTTATTAACATTACATGTTGAAATCTGTCTATATTGGGAAAAAATTGAATAGAAAATTGTCTATTAGTAGCTGTAATTTAAAAAGAAAAAAAATCTACAAAAAAT